GAACACACACACACACACACACACACACACACACACACACACACACACACTCCCCACCTCCATGGAGGCAGTCGCCATGGCAACAGCAAATCTATCTCGATAGGCAATGTGTGATCTTTTTATTAGCCCCGCCCCTTTTGCTCAGATCATCTCCCGTTGACTTACACGTGTTTGCCTATTCAACAACAGTATCAATCAGGCTTTTCATTCATGTGTATGTGTGTGTGAGTGTGTTTTTGCTGGTAAAAACAAAAAGCAGAATTATTTGGGCTCTTGATGTGTGTGTATGCGTGCATGTTTGAGTTTTGTTGTTGGTGTTTGTTTGTTTTGGTGTTTCTACATGTGTGTGATTGTGTGAGGAGCATTTCTACCTATTAAGGCACTCACAGCACTTCACACTGGGAGACGACCTCTCTTCCTCTGAGCCTAAAATATGTGTCAGCATTTGGATGCGTGCGTAGACGTGTGTTTTTATTTGTGTGTCTGCATGGTTATGTGTGTGTGTGTGTGTGTGTGTGTGTGTGTGTGTGTGTGTGTGCTGGCGTGTGTCTGGTGGTGTCATTGTAGGAGCGTCTTCATCAGAATGTCTTCTGCCAGCTGTCAATCATAAGTGAACTGGAAGTACAGTATGCGTGTCGCGTAATGATGATGTCATCTGACCTGTCGGCAGGCTTCCTCCTATTCAAGGACTTTTGCATGAACGAGATCGACGAGGCCGTCCCACAGCTCAAGTTCTACGAGGAAGTTAGTAGCTCACTGTTTGGCGCTATAGACTGGGGCAGGAAGTGACCTGACGCTGACTTCCTGTCTCCGTTCTGGTCTTGTCTTGTGCTCACAGATAAAAGACTATGAAAAGCTGGACTCGGAGGAGGAAAGACTCAGTCGCAGTCGGCAGATCTATGACGGATACATCATGAAGGAGCTGCTATCGTGTTCACATGTGAGTTGTACTGCTAGTTGTGTTCACTGGTCTGGGTTCTAGCCGTAGCCCTGGTTCAGGTCCTGAACCTGGTCCTGGCCCATACACTGGGATTGGTCCCTGTCCTGGACCTTGGACTGGTTCTTCCACATGTCCCCCGTTGTTGTTGTCTCTCCACTGACCAGCTTGCGCCTTGGTTTCCTTTCAGCCGTTCTCCAAAAAAGCCGTGGACCATGTCCAGAGTCATCTGGCCAAGAAGCTGGTGCCCCCAACCCTCTTCCAGGTAGCCCACACCTCCAAGCCTCCAACATTTGCATTACGCTAATACGCCGACTAACGTATGTCCCCCGACAGCCCTACATCGTGGAGATCTGCGACAGCCTACGAGGGAAGATCTTCCTTAAGTTCATCGAAAGGTGAGAGAGCAACAGCGTCAGCGTATAAGCCGCGCTAGCTGCTGCTTTGCTGACCCCGCCCCCTCCGTCTCTCTCTCACACACAGCGACAAATTCACAAGATTTTGCCAGTGGAAGAATGTGGAGCTCAACATCCACGTGAGTAGCGCGACTTCACTTCCTGGCAAATTTACACAAGAAAGGACGAACAGCAATAGTGTTGGACCTACCATTGGATGGAGGCTTTTAGTTAAAGAATAAGACGAAAAAAAACACATTCACGCATCCCTTGCTGCATCGATAGGGACCTTTCACAATTAAAGCTCGCTTAAGAGGATGAGATGCTTTGAATCTGAAAGTAAAAGAGGGGAGGGAACTTGATGGATCCAAAATTAACCCATACTTTTGTTTTCTAAGATCGAAGTGAACTCTGATGCTTTTAATTTCAAAGTAAAAGAGGGGGGGGAATGCAGATATGAATTAAATGTCATGAATTTCTGAATTCATTAGTCACAGTCCCAAAAATTAAGCCCGCTGTGTCAATTGACAACTTTCACAATAAAAGCCTTTTCAGGACGAAAATGACGTGTGCCACGCTTTTAATCTGAAACTCAAGCGGGAAGTGTTTTTATGTGCTTTGCGTGCAGCTGACGATGAACGACTTCAGCGTCCACCGCATTATCGGCCGCGGCGGCTTCGGCGAAGTTTACGGATGCAGGAAGGCTGACACGGGAAAGATGTGAGCGTGTGAATGTGTACATCTTTGTGTGCAAGTTTGTCTCCTCACGTTTGTTGTATGTGTTGAATTTGTGCAACTGAGCACGTCTGCATGGATATTTGCGTTCTTGTTTGCGTGTGCACATGCGCACGTGACGTGTATGTTCCTATGTGTGTATTTGTCATGTGTGCTCATCTTTGTGTGTCTGCGCCTGTGCGTACGAGTGCGCGTTGTGACGTGTGCGTTTGCGCCCCCCACCGCAGGTACGCCATGAAGTGTCTGGACAAGAAGCGCATCAAGATGAAGCAGGGCGAGACGCTGGCGCTCAACGAGAGGATCATGCTTTCGCTCGTCAGCACCGGGGTGAGCCGGGTTTAGCCGCGTTAGGTTCAGGTGACCGGGTCGCGGGCGGGGCTAACCTCTGACATCTTGGCAGGATTGCCCGTTCATCGTGTGCATGACGTACGCCTTCCACACGCCTGACAAGCTCTGCTTCATATTGGACCTCATGAATGGTAACCGCGGCAACCGCAGCCAGTCACACCACAGCAACTTTATTTAGAACAAAAAACTTTTTGTCTGAGACTTTTTTTGACACTTGGGTCATATTTGTTTGTCATTTTGCAGCAAAATGTAGTTATTTAAAAAAAAAAAAAAATTTTTTTTCTCATGAAATAATATTGATTGTGAATATCAACATGTAAAAAAATATGCATTAAGAAAAGCATTATTTTGAAATTGTATAACATAATTGGTAAAATGATCTCTTGTAAATAGTTGTAAAAAACTATGTAATATATAAAAAGTGCTATTTTTATATATTACAATTTAAAAAATTTGTATTCCATAATTGAGTCATTATTGAACCATGAACTAGAAATAATGCAAACGCGCGTGTTTTTGTTTTAACCCCGACTGCACTTTGTTGTCAAACTTGGATGCGTGTGTGTCAGGCGGCGACCTGCACTACCACCTGTCTCAGCACGGCGTGTTCAGTGAGAAGGAAATGCGCTTCTATGCCGCCGAGATCATCCTGGGCCTGGAGCATATGCACAACCGCTTCGTCGTCTACAGGGACCTCAAGGTAGGTCATGCCCTTAGGATGTTCGCCCAACGCTGTTTATCCAACACTGTTGACACCGCCTCTGCACCCACAGCCCGCCAACATCCTGCTAGACGAGCACGGACACGTTCGCATCTCTGACCTGGGCCTCGCCTGCGACTTCTCCAAGAAGAAACCGCACGCCAGTGTGTAAGTATGGCCCACCTTAGTCGAGTGTGAGATGTCATCATTTTTCCGGCCTCGGATTGGTTTGGTCTGAGGAAAACTTGTCGCGCTCAAGTTGGACAAGCAAAAGACATTGGAAGCACTTGATTAGATGAGAGAACTTTTGCTTTGGTTAGATCAGGTGACGTGTCTTAATATTTTACAAGTGGGGGCTGGGAGCCCTTTGAGACTTTTGGGGTGAAGGGTCACACAAAGGTCACACGAGGACATTTCATTGTCAGCATAATCAGCTGGTGATTGGCATTCATCTTATTTTGATCGATGAAGCGGGGTGGGAGGAAGCGGCAGAGAAACAGGCCAGAGTCCAGATGTCAGGAGGTTTGCCAAAACACTAGCTTGGTTTAACTCAAGTCAAAAAGTAAAGTAAGGTGTGGTTTAAGTCAATGTCAGAGTGTCAAAATGAATCTCCAAAGTGTACGTCTAAGTGTTTCTACAGATGTTGCCTCTCTAATTTCCGTGGGTAGGGCATGGCTCAGGAAAGAATGCCCTACAAAGGAGGTGTCAAGTGTCTGGGGGTCCAGTCCGCCTGCCCTGTGGAAGTAAAGAATGCATTGGCTGCAATTTTCTTTTTCAGTTGATGTAGTTGTTGTTGCAATTTCTCTCCACTGGGGGGCGCACTGCCCACCACTTCAATGACCTTGTGAAATGGACATGTCAGCGAGTTGTGGAAGCTGTCCAGGAAGTTGCCGATTGACGTCTCTCCATACAGCCTGGTTTTTGCCTTTGGTGTGATGTGGTTTCACAATGTGGCGCCGTCTCGTGTAAGTAAGGTTGCGCCTTGGCGTGTTTTCAGGGGCACCCACGGCTACATGGCCCCAGAGGTTCTGCAGAAGGGGACGGCGTACGACAGCAGCGCCGACTGGTTCTCGCTGGGGTGCATGCTCTTCAAGCTGCTTCGGGGGTAAGTCAGCATTTGCCTCGCGCAAGTTTGACAACGTCGCCTTTCGTTTGGGCCCCCCCGTCTACCGCCACCGATTACTGTCTGAGGTTATTTCTATTGAAATCCGTCCCGTCGTATGCAGCATGTCGCTCAACCGGCTTCCTGTCTGGTACCTCCACGCGCACCAGTTGGGAGTGCAACGTTGATGCCCGTGTTTGTGCGTCTCCCCCTTCAGGCACAGCCCGTTCAGGCAGCACAAGACCAAAGACAAACACGAGATTGACAGGATGACGCTGACCATGGTAAGACGCACCAGCACAACAAAAAGCCGCAGGTCTTTCCATTTCACTGCATTTATGTAGTATTCATTTGAAATGGAAGTGGGGGAGGATAAAAATGAATCCATTTCGAAGTGCAGCAATTGATCCGCAAGTGATTGATGATCTTATTTCATGTTGGCAGCTATTTCGATCACGGGTCAAGCGTTGAGAGAAGTTGAAACATTCCGATTTCAGCCTCTCAACTATAAATGTGCAATTACCATGAAAGCTGCCAAATGATCTTTTGCAAACGGATGCTTTTACTTTGGAAGAGGACCGATCCAACATTTTTTTTGGTAGGTTTTTCTGACGCAACCAGTCAGCCGGCCATCATCAGTTCATATTTGTGCATTTTCTGTCCCGCCAATTTGGAGCTGTGTCTTGTTGTAGAACTCATTCACTCCCAAAAACGTATTTAGATGTCTTTTCAGACGCCACACATTTATTTAATCCCAGCTCCATTTTCAGACCCTTTCAGACCCTTTTCAAGTACAGTCAATATAAAATGAGGAGCTGGGATTAAATGTGTGGCGTCTAAAAAGACATCTAAATACGTCTTTGGGAGTGAATGAGTTAATTTGGAGTTCAAATTCAAAAAGTGGTGTTTGATGATCTTTTGTTTTCAAGAACAGTGTATTGTTGCTGGTGTCCTCAGTTGTCTTTTGACGCCGTTGTGATGGTTATTGCAACTTTTTTTGGCAGGGGGTCAGGATCATGATGGACTTGTCCATCAATTTTCATGTCAGGATCCTGTTGCGACTTATTTTTAATTTTTTTTCCCCCCCTTAAACCGAACGCAGGGGTGGCGAGTGAACGAGGGCTTGACTTTTTCACGCATGCCTCTGCGCAACTCGGGTGATCTTTGGCCATTGGCACAAATCTGATTACGCCAAATCGTTTCATCCAGACGAGTAATCGCATTCAGTTGATAATCCTCCCGCTTGGGCGGGATTAAATAAAAATAGCTGTCTTAATGGCGCTCACGTATGTTGAAAGTTCCCATCATGGAATCACATTAGTGACAGTCTTCTCTTTATATTTGTCTTCCACTTCTCCTTCATCTTCCTATTTCACTTTTTCCATCCTCTTCTGTCTCTTCATCCTTTCTCCATTTTCTTTTTCCTCTTTGTCTTGATCAGAACGTGGAGCTCCCCGATTCGTTCACGGCGGAACTGAAGGAACTTCTCGAAGGGCTCCTGCAGCGCGACGTCTCCAAGAGGCTGGGCTGCCAGGGACGAGGGTAACACATGCGCGTCACATATGAAACCCGGTTTACATCAGCTCCCCCGATTTTGAAGTTATCTCGGTGGTTTCTGGGTTAGGATCAAACAGGAGCGAGCTCCTGTTGTCAGGCCCTCTATTGGCGACCAGGAAGCGTTTTATGTTTGCTTGAATCTGTGTCTTTTTTTTTTTTCGTGGGGAGGGGGGGGGGGGTTTGAGTGCTGGTTGCGAATGCGACCCCAGCGCGCCCTCTGCTGGCCGCACCCGGAGTAACCCCATGCTTGTGTGACGTGTCAATCAGAGCGGTGGAGGTCAAGGGGCATCCCTTCTTCACGGGCATGGACTGGCAGCAGGTCTACCTGCAGAAGGTACGTGGCCGCCGTCTTTGGCTCGCTCGCTCGCTCGCTCGCTCGGCGCCCGCTCACCCGAAATGTGTTTGCAGTACTCGCCGCCGCTCATCCCGCCCAGAGGGGAAGTCAACGCCGCCGACGCCTTCGACATCGGCTCCTTTGATGAGGAGGACACCAAGGGCATCAAGGTCGAAACACACACACACACACACACACACACACACACACACACACACACAGCGCTGCGGTCCAAGTCTTTGGTCCCAAATGTGGTGCGTGTTTGTGTCAACAGCTCCTGGACAGCGACCAGGAGCTGTACAAGAACTTCCCGCTGGTGATTTCCGAGCGTTGGCAACAAGAAGTGGCCGAGACCGTCTATGGCGCCGTGAACTTGGACACGGACAAAAATGAGGCCCGCAAGAGGGCCAAAAACAAACAACTGGGCCACGAGGAAGGTCAGGAGCCACCTTGAACACAAACTGACACATTAAAAAAAAAAAAACAACAATAACAATATAAAGATTAAAATATTGTATTTCATTGGAACACCAACATGAAAAACGTTTGCTAGCTTGATGCTAACATCTAATGGGAAACTCCGTGGAAGGGCGAAAAGAAATTAGCGTTGATATTTGTGTCATGACATTCCACCTCCTTTTCCCTCCACTGGTGTCGTCACGTTGTGATGACCTCACACGTTTGTCACTTTTGTGGTTGTCGTCGTGCAGACTACGCGCTGGGCAAGGATTGCATCATGCATGGCTACATGCTGAAGCTGGGGAACCCCTTCCTCACGCAGTGGCAGCGGCGCTACTTTTACCTCTTCCCCAACCGAGTCGAGTGGCGGGGAGAGGGCGAGTCACGGGTCAGTTGCCGCCGCCGCCGCCGCTCGACACAATGCATCCGAGTCATATCCGTCTTCGTGTGTCTGGAAACGCTCTTGCTGTGTGTGCGTGGAAACGCTCTCACTGTGTGTGTGTGTGTGTGTGTGTGTGTGTGTGTGTGTGTGTGTGTGTGTGAGTGTGTGTGTGTGAGTGAGGGGGGGGG